ATCATGTGAATCTTGCAGAACTTGCAGAATGATGATATTCTTCTCATCTCATAGTTTCAGAAATTACCCATCTATCCACAAATATATAATACCAAATACTGAGATTGACATATCCCTAATAGTAAATAAAGGTAAATATATAACAGGTGTAAAAAATGTACTACATGATCATACTACTGTAGTATTTTATAATTTCTCGTGTTTGGGTCAAAAGGTAGTTAGAATTGGGTGCAATGAAACGGAGGAAGAGAGCAAAAGAAAAAAAAAATGAAGGGCCTAATTGGAACTCTGCAGGAATTTTGAGGGCTATAATTGGTTCTTTAATTGTTCAGTGAACACTGAAGAAGAGACTTGTGAGTGAAGACAAGGAATTAATTAAAGTAGAGAATATGATTAACTTGTATATGATATTAGGGTGTCATAATCAAAAGGATGAAGGAGGAAGATCATATAGCACACCTGTTAAAAAGGGTTTTGTTCATGACGTTGCTCCATTGCCATGTGTCTAATTAGCATCCTCCACAAGGCACCCGCCTCAATCAATCTTAAGAAATAAACAAAAGTTGAGGTCTTATATTAAGCAGTTTGCTATATATATATATATATAAAGATAAGCTGGCAGAAGATTTCTTCTTCCACACTGATTCTCCTTCTTTTGGTCATTCCTTTCTTGAGTTGCTCAATTACTCTTTGATTCTTTTCTTCCTTCCCTTTTAAAAGAAGGGCGCACAGAAAATCTTGGTGACAGTCGAAACACAAACCCAGAGAAGTAAACGAAAGTAAGAAGAAGAAGATAACAATGGCGGATTGGGGGCCGGTGGTGATAGCAGTGGTGCTGTTCGTGCTGCTAAGTCCAGGGCTGTTGTTCCAGCTGCCCGGGAGGGGAAGAGTGGTGGAGTTCGGGGGCATGCATACCAGTGGGATTTCCATCCTCGTCCACACCATCATCTTCTTTGGCCTCCTCACCATCTTCCTCATCGCTGTTGGCGTTCACATCTACACTGGATGAGACCATATGCCTATTTAGCTACCGATTTGGTTTTAGGATTTGCTTTCCCATTTTCATTTTTTTAATGCTTGTTTGACAGGATTTTACCGCTGCTTTGACTTGTTCAGATTGTTTTGTTTGTTTTCAACACCGTGTGGAATTCTAGTTTTTTAGAAGATGAAGCAATGAAACAAATAAGGGTTAATCAATGGGATCATATTTTATGTTTATCAAAATAGAAATTGTGTTTTATAATTTATTGCTAGTTCGGAAATGTTTATGTATTAGAAAGCACTTTTGTTCATAAGCGTCCGTATACATATTATGTATATAGCATGGAAAAACAAAACACTTGCTGGTACCAAAATTAGCACAACCTAATTTCTACCATCAATGGGCTGATTTTGTGGTTAGTCAATTAAAGCCCAATTATCAAAACCAGCAATAAAATGGCCAACACTTAACAAAGTTATGTCCAAAGGCCCAAAAGCCCATCGGACAGCGCTGGATGTTGAAGAAACATTGGCCAACGATTATTCAACCAGAAAAGACTAGGAGTCATCGGATAAAGTATGTTCGATAAAGATTATAGAAATCAATTCATGTCTATAATGCCAAACTGTTAAAAACAAATAATGATTGAATCCTCCAAAATAATAAGTTTATTTATTTTCTTAAAACTCATAAATTTAACAGACAATGTTAATTTATGAATTAAAATAAAAATCAAGGTTTCTGCCAATATGTAGTGTTTCATAATTGGTTACGGAAAAAAAATTATTGGGTCAAATAAACAAAGATCAGAGGATTTGTTTATTTAAATATTTTTAGCTAATCCCACAAGACCGTTGCTTTTATTTGGTTAAAGGCGTGAACATCCAATTTTGAACCCAAAGTTGACCTCGACAACTGATGGAAAGTCAAACGGCATAAGGAAGGCATGACAACCGCATTAAATGTGATTTGAACCGTGAAGATTAGCTGCGCCAACTTGCTTAAACCAACTAAATCACAAGAACTAAGAAAAAATCAGAGGTTTGCCAAACTCGCTTGCAGGGAAAAAACCGGTACTTAGTATGAACACTCCTTGCCAAGCGTACAAAACCAAGGAACTAAAAAGGTTATAAACAACCGAAAGAGATTTGATTCAAGGGACAACCAATCTCTCTAAAAAACAAACAACTTATTTGAACAAACTTCAAATACACTCAACTCAAACAACTTGTCTAATGCGTCTCATAATAGACCAAAGGCCAAGACTTGAATCAAATCCTCTCCTAATCTTGAGTTCCTAGTTGACAACTCCTCATTGGAATTCTCTTCTTTTCCCAAACACATACTTTATCTAATTCCCAGTTGACAACCCCTGATTGTAATTACGTTGCTATTGTTTGCCTTAATGCTCTACCAACATCAGTGCTTAGTATGATTTTATAAGTTAACTACTTGTTCTAGCTTATCTAAGACCAAATTTGTATCTACAAGCCTTTTTGAGCATTGCAGATAATGCGAACAACCTTCATCGGACTCATTGTATTGTCTTAAATAGATTACAGTGGTGTCCGAGGAGTGCTCTTTCTATTCAATAAGGTTCCCTTAGGCTCTGTTAGACTACTTATTGTGTGAATTAAGTGTATTTAGGTCCACATGGATTTACGTTTACTTTCTTGTAATAATATTATGTCTTTCAGACACTTTTATCTATGAACTTGTATTGTATTGTACTTTATGTCCGCTATTAGTTTAAAGTTGTTATTTCTTCCAAGTTCTATTCCATAGCAAGTGAAATGTTGAAGTCCTCTTAATTAAAGCATTGAAAAGAACTTATCCAAGCCAGATTCCCCATTTGGAGCATAATGAATTTGGTTAGAGGTTGTAAACCACGTATCCTTCTCGTATAGGAGACTTGGGCCCTAGGCTAGAACCTAAGCTCTTGTTTACCCACGTAAATGAGTAATCTCCTAAGGAAGATCTGCACACTTGGAACAATATCAGAATAAGGATGGACTGAGGTTGATCCCAGTTCAGACCCCTCCGATAGTTAAGTCAGAAGCTAACTTGAACTGGAGAGAAATGTATATAGGGTTTCCACAGTGAGAATATTTATTACCTTTGTCCAGAGATAGGTGAGGGGTATTTATAGGGGGCAAAATGAGAGACCCAGATATTTTATGGGATAGATCTTTTCTTTATTTCCCTAAGTTTGAATCACATTTAATTCTTTGTTTTCTGATCACCCTACTTTGTGACAGGATCTAGGTGGCGAAGTGATAGGTAAACAAGAATGAGATGTGTATTAAATGTTCTCTTTCTATCACCAACTTGTTTTCTTAGAGATCGAAGGGTAAAGCGACACCTGCTTGAGGATGGGATGTGCATTAACTGACCCTTCTTGGTTGTCAGGTCTATCCATCTCAAGGGCAGTAGTAATCAATTTGGCAAGGGTTAGGTTAGGCTTGCCGATCATTCATGCACTTCTGGTTGGAATAGAGCACCCTGGTGATCGGGTAAGTACCCAAAACACCCGACCACTGGTCCAATCTATTTCATCGTATTCCGACTGGTCGGTGTGCAAGCAACTTGGTCTGTCGTGGCCACATGGCGTCCTTTGATGGGCTCGGCTTGTAGAGATAATCTGAGCTATTAACAAAGGTTAAGATCAACGAGTGCAACACCATCTTCACATTATCTAGTCATTCATCTTCTCTTCCCACTAGAAGAGTAAAGCACTAGTAATGACACGCCTAATGCATATAGAGAAAACGTCAGCATTGAGCCCAAACTAGCCTTTTTTAACCAACAAGCAACACATTGCAACTAAAATATAGTCTGCAAAAAATCTGGAGCATGGCAATGTTCTCCAGAAGCCCACAAACACTTTTGGCACGTACAACACTATTTGCCTCTTTACCTCATACTTAAGCTCAATTGACCCATTCAGACCAAAAAAAAAAAAAGCTCAATTGACCCAATGGCCAATGAGGTGTTCCAACTATTGTAGGGTAAAGAAGCCAGTCAAATCTAATTCAGTCAGACATGCTTACCGAATATCTTTAAAACATCTAGCATAGTTTGATGCCATCTACTTAGTATTTTTTGACAATTTCCTACGCAATTTTATCCTCCATTTGGTACTCCACTTCACTCAACTGACTTTTTCAGTTGAACATCGCTGCACGCTTTTGCTTTCCACTTGCCAAACAATCAATTTTTCTTTAAGTTACATCATCATCTTGAATTATTTAGGATGGTATGCAAAGTGTTCATGCTGGTGTTTTACCTCGAATTCTAATGCCCCCTCCCCTAAAACGACATTACTTGTTTAGGGTTGTACTATTGCCTCTCTCTCTCTCTCTCTCTCTCTCCAAAAACGACATTTAGACCAAAATAATTGGTTATGGAGACGACGATTTCTAGAGAATCAATCCCATGCCTTTTCATCCCCACCTGGATGGGTTGCTTTGCTGGCCCTGAAAGTGAAGCCATCCATATCTATTCGTTTGAAATTAGAAACGAAAAAGACAAAAGTGCACGTTGAGATCAGGACACTCAACATCCCTATCCCAAAAGTCAATTACCAACCTATTTGTTGAAAAACCTAAAAACAAGACCTGTCCGACAGGCTACAGTGTTTCTTTCCATAGGAGAAAGAAATGAACAATAACTGGGACATTCGAGAAGATGATGAGCATCCACAATGAACTCCATAAATCATCATTTTAGATAAAATTTAGAAAGAAGGTGAAAAAATCCACCTTCAACCTTGCTCCCTATCCAAGAAAAAGCACAACATAAAAAATTGTGATTTCTCATTAATAACTTTTTTCTATCTTATCACAAAAATTAGCTCCAACCAAAAATAAAATAACAGTGTGACATAGACCTCACTGCATTTCTTATTTTGCTTAAGAAAAGCACAAAATAATGTAACCAGCTGAGCCATAAAACTTTTACAAATTTGAGAACAAGAGATATGATATGTACGGAACAACAGCAAAATAGAATTAAAAGAGGCTCAGCATGCAACATCCCCTCCGTCTCCTCAAAAGTAGGAATTCATTGGTTGGAAGTACTTTAACATCATCCTTCAACAATTCACTATTAGAAGCCACTTCCACATATTCAGTAGAACATTAATAAACATTTTATCTACTGTTCATGCATCAATACTTCAAGAAGCCCTCTTGATTAATTTCGGCCTTGCCCTATACATCGCTATATGCAGCACACCCCACACCAGGACATTTGTGCTGCTCCATCCTCCTCCAATGAACATTTCCACTCTCTTGAACCACCCTCCTCTTCTTCACAATAACTTCCATTCTGCAGCAATAGAAAATTTATACAGATGGTTATTAAACAATCTTCCCAGCATGATTACTTTACATTTTAAATGAAATTTCCAACTAGAAGTACCAACCAAGACAGCAAACAATACTTCCTGTGCATAAGGAACGGAAGGACAGATACCCCAAGTACACTATTAACCTTGTGGCATGGGAAAATGCATTTGATTGACTAAGAGAAAGATCAGGGATGATGGCCCAGAAACAAATATATGTCAAACATGCGACTATAGGCCTTACCCTCCCAGCATCTTTCCTGGATTGACTTGATCACAGAATATATCCCCAACTAAATATCCGCCATATATCACTTTCAATACCTAAACATCACATCACCAAGCCAGAACTCTTAATGCTCAGCTAATTGGAGCTACTTTCGATCCAAGCAGAGTTCTAACTTAATCTAATCTAAGAATTTGTTCTCTCAATCCACTCAAATGTCAAACCAGCACTTTTGGCATATATCCTAGTAGCATGTTCAACAGAAGTGTTTATCTTCCTGAGCAGCCTCACGCAGTAAAACAAAACCTTCCAGTTTGTTTCTGTTCTAGGAACTTCAAGATTGTAGGACAATCCAAATTAACAGATCAGAAATATAAACGAAAAACTATTCCTAGTTACACACAAAGGAAAAGGAACCCCACATCATGATATACAAGAAATTTGACAAATATTCAATCAAACATAAAACAAACATGCCCATTTTTCTTCACTTTCAAGAGGAAAAACATCAAGAATACAGATGAGAACTCCAAAGAATCCATCCAAAACCTCCCCTATTACTGACTATTAGAAGCATCAAGAATACATGAAGAAAAGAAAGAAAACAAAATTGCTTCATCCTTACTTTTCCTTTGATAAAATATCATAACAATACACAATTCCAATGAAGAAGGGCAGATCCAAGGGCAAGGCCGAATACTAAAGTTTTATTTGGTGAGCCATATGCAACACATGGATCGGTGCTCTGAAAAATGTAAGGCTAAAGTTGTAGTTGGTGTTACTTCATTCTCAGATACATGATGGCAAATATAATTGTTTAGTTCTTCCCAATCACGAGCTATTCTAAATAAATGTTAACTGATTTGATTATAATTCCAAATATTACCACTTTCTGTTCTGACTAAATTTTTTTATCTTAAATACATGTTTTCCTGGTTCTTTTCAAGAAGTAAATGGAAGCAAATGATATAATATAATAAATAAGAAAAACAGACAAACCATTGAATACCAAGATTCCAGACAGCAAAGAAAATGCATAAACCAAGGAACCAGACACAGATTACTCCAGGTCCAGGAAAAGGACAAAACAAACATTAATTACTATCAATAAACAGATAATTAAAAGCAAAAGCTATAATCTCTACCAGAAATCTCCTTTCGCGGTGATGACGCAGCCGACGCGTAACAAAGAATCGACTTTCCCAAAACAGAGAGGCTGGAGACGATTCCAGCCACGTAGAAGACCATAACCAATCCGAGAACCCAAGGCATCAATATGAAACCAATGAAGAAAGTCACCGATCCACAGAGCATCAGAGCCATCGAAATCCCCAGCATCAGAGAGGCGAACCCCGCCGGCGAAATCTGAGTCGCCGCGGGAGGCGGCCGCCTCGATGAAGACGGCGACGAGGGCACCACCGGTGAGTGATCGGAGAACTGAATCGGCGTGGGAGGAGATCGGAGGAGGTTGAGAACCAGAGCCGATAGCTCATAGAAAACCCTCGATTGCTGGTCTTGCTGGTCTTGCTGGTCTTGCCTTCGCATCATCTTTTTTCTGCCCGAGAAAATTCCGGTATTGAGGTCAACAATGTTTAAAACCTAAAATTCTTTGAGAGAAAATCGAAATTCCTGAATTTTGCTAGAGACGAGGCAAATGGATAAAAGAAATTGGAGACGTCTATCTACAGCGATAGTATGATTGGATTGGGCTCTTTTCTTCTTGACCTTCGTAATAATACAGGTGGTGAGTTTTGAGAGGCCGGGGTTTGTTTGTTTGTTTCTTTATCAAGATCTCTGAGAGCCGATTTTCTCTTCTTTTCTTTTCTTTTCTCTCTCTCGGAAATCTTCTGTTTGGTTCGTAGGAAAATGAAAAACGAACAACGGGAAAAAGAAAAGTCGGCTATAAATGGAAGCTCTTTGCGCGGTTTATCCGGAAATAAAATATACAAAAACTAAAAAGGGGATCAAAGGGAAGTTTGGATAGGAAGACACGAAAGCTGTGCGCATGTGGCACACGCGATGTGGATTGGAGTGGAAGTGCAGTCAGTGATGAGTGGGCGGGATCCAGATGACGTGGGACCTTATCTTCTCCCACAAACGACCGCCTCCAAATATTATTATTCTTTTTTGGCAAATAAAAAAAAAACAAATATTATTCTTCTTCTTTTTTGGTCAAGAATATTATTCTTTACTTCTTCCTTTTCTTTTTTTTTTTTAAAAAGAAAATTTAAGTAAAATACTTTTTATAATTAATTTACAGGAAAAACCCTAAAAATCGATATAATTTGTGAAAATGCGTAAGGTCAGTCAAATTGTTTTTATACAAATTTATAAATAAACCCAATTCTAGACATGTATTTATAAAAAAACTCAAGCACTATTTAAACATAGAAACACACCCAAAATCAACCCCAAAGTCAACTTTTTGGGTGTGTTTATAAATGGGTTTTAAGTGTGTGTAATGATGGGTTTTGGGTGTGTTTATAAAGTGTTTTGGGTGTTGAGTTTTTTTATAATTTCAACCTCCATTTTGGATGTTTTAGTGAAACTCCCTTGTTTTTAGCCGGATGATGCTTAATTTGGAGAAAGTTATAATTACATACTAATTAATATATAAATAGTCTTGTAAAATTGTGACAAACAAATAATCTGTTTTTATGAGGTGAGAGTTTGATGAAATTATCGAGAAATTTGATGAAATTATCGAGAAATTAATTGTTTTACTCATTATTAGGCGAGCTAATGAAATTAGGATTATGAGGTAATTCACCAATAATTTGGGGACAGATATAATTGAGTTGATCCAGATACGTGGCATTTGCAGGGCCTGCAAATATTGAATATTTAACAGTTGATGGTCGCCGATGATGCCTTGTCGTGATTCATTATTTTAGCTTATCCCAAGAGAAGCTAGCATAGTGGAAGAATCTAACAAATAATTAGACTTGTCATGTTCGAATAGGTTAAAAAAATTTAAAACACATGTTCTTGAATATCTTCTGACGGGAAAGATTGGTTATCCCAATTGGAGATGGAGAAATGGTTGTATGGAATTGAAACACGTAGACAGAGTTATAATTTAGATTATATGACAGAGTTAAGATTTCTCGTTTTTAGGATACATCGTCAATATTCACTTATGTCATGTGGATGTGTTATACCATATGATCGTATTTCGGTAATTACTCTTACTCATAGCATTGATGTTAATTTTGACATCTAATTATGATTTCTTATTCAGTAGCGAACTTATAAAGGTTTAAAGAGGTGCAGTTTCACTTTCCCTCACTAAAAAAAAAAGTTGCAAGCAAAAGCCAGGAACAGGCTATAGCCTAGGAAACTTTTCTTGTCTTTTAACTCAAAATTACATTTAGTGCACCTCTGCTAGCTAGGAGGTTAACTTGCAAATCTTTGCAAAGGCAAAAGTGTAAACATAATAATTTTTTCCCCAATTAGTTTGAAATTAATGTTAATTGGTATTGAAAACTATCTTTTTCTTTTTGAAAACATTGGAAACTTTACCTTGGACTAATTATGTTCTGCATCAATTATGAGTTGATAAACACATGATAAACTATTTTTAGATTTTTTGGAAAAACATTCATATCACTAGCTTTCCTTTTCTTCATACTATACCTAAAAGAATTACTTCCATTACATTTTGCCATCGAGTTCCTATGAAAAAACCAATCAAAGGCTTTGATTGTCATGAAATAGAGAAAACTATTATAATAATTTTGGTGTTCTTACTTGTATGAATAATGAATTATCGATCAGTGAGATTTAATGAATTAATTAGTTGCTGACATGTTGTCTTGTATATATTATTTAATAGGTTATACTTTTATAATGTCAGGTCAACATAAAAAACCTAAGAGATCAAAGATTCTTTGGAATTCTTTTATTATCAATGAAATTCACTCATATCATCGTTTTCTATCTTCTTAGTAGGTTTGTACGCCAGGTAAATAAAGCCAACCCCATTTTGGAATCCTAGATCCGTTCCTTACAAACGTGGACCTACATAGGCGCAAGGAGGTGCAACTGCACCTCTCCTTGTCGGAGCAGGAGTTGCAGGTGCAAGAATTGTAACATTCCACATCTACCAATGGAGAGGGGTGATGTGCCTTATATGTACATACTCATCTTCATTTAGCACGAGGTCTTTTAGGAGCTCACTAGCTTTAGAGTCATAGGAACTCCGAAGTTAAGTGAGTTTGGGCTAGGTCAATCCCAGGATGGGTGACTCACTGGAAAATTGCTCTTGAGTTCCTAGAAACAAAAGGCAGGGGGCCCAAAGCGAACAATATCATGCTATGGCAGAGCCGATATGAGATGTGACAGGAATGTTGCCCCTTCGCTCAGGCGCTCGCCACCTGTTTCACAAAAGTCCTCTTTGAACCCTTATTTGATGCAATACTTTATGCTATTCGCAGTGTGCAATGCGAGCTTTTTTTTTATTATTATTTTTTTATAATTATAAATTTTTAAAATTCCTCGCCAAAATGACGTCATTTTGGTATAGGGGAAAAAAATTAACCATACTATAGACGAAAAAGGAATTCCTTCAGCAATAGGAATATTTTGCTTGTTTTTTGGTCAAATGAGGAGACTTTTTTGTTTTTGTTTTAAAGAAAGAGTTCTTTACGTCACAACCACCAATTCCTTATAAAAGATCAGAAAATTCATAACTTGTTTTACATACGCATCACCATGTCTGTGTTCTTCCTTTTTTTAAATTTTGAGGGAACTCCAAGTCTTTCATAAAAATTGATTCATCAATCTTGTGCCAAGGAAGAAAATTTTGTATCGATTAAGCTTTCAAAGTTTGAATGTAATTCAAATTGATTCATAATATGTCTTTTTTTAATAATTTTTTTTATAAAACTTTTAGTCTTTCAAAATTGCACTTATACTAAAAAATTCATGGGTGCCCAAATGTTCCTACCACGATACCACCTACCTACCAACTAGCACCAACTACTTAATTTATTAATCTCTAATTCAATAATTCATTAAAACTAATTGACTAAATAAACTCTAAAACCTAGCTAGGAAGAATTAATATAACAGATATTTAGTTATATACTCATTCTTAACACTAGTGATATAAATAAACCATATACAATTTAATTTCTATAAACAAATCCAAAAAAAAAAAAACCCAAAAAAGGATAGCTAGCTTTATTGAATTTAATTTTGATTATTAAATTACTTTGATGCCCTATTGAGTGTTTTGAGTTTTTTTAAATAAAGTTTTGGGGTTGAGCTTGTTTTGAGAAAAGTAGTTTTGTAATTTATAGGAAGTTCAAAGCCTCTTTATTATGTTGTAAATGAACTTTGGGTGTATTTCTAAAGTCTATTTCATATATAATTTTTATTTATAATTTGAGCTCCTATATTAAGTATAATAATAAATCTCTCTTAATTTATTAATCCCTATAAAGTTTTAATATATTAATCCCTATAAAGTTTTACCTTGAATGATGAATAATTAATCTGTAGTTTCAAATGAGAAGTTTGGTTATATTCCCGACATGATCGTCCTTCACCGATTTCACGCTCACGTTGGGCCCGCATAGATTGACAAATTTGTTCCATTGTCTTCTTCAAGGCATTGAAAAGTTATAGCTTTGATGTGAAACGTTTTTGTTGTGTCTCACGTGCTAATATTTAAACAATAATGGATTTTCATGCATCTTCTTGGATATGAATATATGCCACCTGTAAATGTATGCAATAGTATGACATTGCAAGCATGGATATTATAACTTGGTGGCTACAAGCTCGTCGTCTGGTAGCGGAGCTAGAAACCATGACATGAGACAATTTAAGAGTTTTGAAGATTGAAGCAAAACCCAAACCATTCTTGACTCACATATGTTCCTTGTTGTCTATATACATAGAGAGAGAGAGAGAGAGAGAGAGAGAATCCCTCTACGCCTAATACATCACCATGTTTTTCCTGTAAGTCCAAGGAAATAAATATCAATTGGTGGTTCGAAGTCTTGTTTCTTTATTTAAATCTCACAAGTAACAAATGCAACCAACTGTCCCTTTCTCTTTTGCTTTCGAAATTAGACAACCCTGATCTTCAAGATTGAGGGAATGGGCCTCATGGGCCTCCACAACTAGAAGTATTAAGCTTATTGGGCCGTTGGCCCATGTTGTTTATAGCCTAGCTGATCTTGTTTAGCAAAATTCAAGGATGCTAGAATGAGAGGTTATAATGAAGGGGTCCTTAATAGCTTTCAAATCTAATGTAAAGTTATTGTTGAACTGTTGGATTGAACCCGTCCACATAACCCCTCGTTACAGGGTAACTTAGAAAAATGCCTACCTTACAATATTGTAGATAAGATGGCCAAGGGCCGCAAGGAATATATTACACACACCAAAATCATAGAGTCTAATATTGGAAAGATATATTATTAATTCCAAAGCAAAGCTTGCGAAGCTAAAAGAAAGAAAGCACAGTTGCTTGAGAGCATGCACACACAACTCTTCAGGTCCAGAGTTATGGCATAAGTCCATACAATTACAATATGGTCCTTTTTTGGTCAAATTTAAAAAAAGAAAAAAAAGAAGAAGAAACATAAACGAACATACTGTATCTTCTTATCAAAAGAAAATATGCATCACCATTCATGGCTGGCTGCTCTCCATACACACTTTTTATTATCATGGCAACCATCCTGCCATGTAATTACTCACGCTTGGACCTGCTGTGACCACTGATATTGGATCGTTCTGGTATCTGCAAAATTATTAACAAATACATTCGATGAGAATGATGACTCAATGAAAAGATTCATCCATGCGCTTTGAAATTTCAGGTCTTGTTTAATATCAAGAAACCTTCCTAATTCCCCCAACAATTCAACTGTCATTACTTTGAAAATAGGTTTTCTCTGATCAGCAGGTTTTGGTTTCTATAT